GCCTGGTTCGCCCGCGAGGGACTCACAAGGTCGATTTCGGCCCCGGCCGGGGAGCAGGCCGGGGAGGGGAGGAGGTACAGTGGAATGGATTGAATACGATTGAACGGATGGCCGGATGGCTGGAATGCAGCGACGGAAACGGATGGCGGAGGTATGGCCAGCAGGCGGTCAGCTGGAATCATGGAATGCGATGGAAAGGATGGCCTTGTGAGAGGAGTGCAAGGGTGGGACGGGTGACGGAAGTATGGACAAACAGCTGGATGGATATTATGCAACGGATATGATGATTGGATGGCTGGAATGCAACGAGGAAACCGAAGGTGGACGGTCTCGTTGGCGAGCGGGTGACGGATTTTGTGAATAGAGCCGTTGGCTGGAAGGAATACGAATCATCGACGGAATGGAAGACGGAGGAAGCCGGGGATGACTAGGGTATATGGCAAGATTTGGTATGGTGGGGTTCGAAGGAAGGAGGGATACTATGAGGATCGGCAAGCACGGTGACGCGCGTGTCTGTGTTGCGAAGAAAGCGGCGGGTAAACCCGGAGCAGCGAGATCGGACAGTAGGAAGGGGCAGGTTTTGCTTCAGTCCACCGGAGCCTGGGAAGTGTATCGTTAAGCACGAGCCTTGGACCACATCATTGGAGCACCACTCGTGTCATACGTCACCGTGTCCCCCCATCTCGCCCGTTTGTGCGTTTCCAGCTTGTCGTTCGATGCTGCTATGTTCGTGATTCTGGTTGGTCGCTGTTTTTTTTGTTGTTGTTGTTGTCTTCACATTAAAAACCGTTCCGATCTCTCTCTACCCAGTACCTTCGTGTGTCCGTACTGATCCAACACTCGACGCGGTCGATTCCCGTGGTCGCAGGCTAAGTTACCCTAAAAAGGTACACTCAAATGGTAGGGTCACTGGATGCATGGTAGCAGTCATGCGTTCAGTGACCCTAGTCTTCGTTGCTTTCTGCCCCCCCCTGCCACACCCCCCCGCTGTTCGTCGCTCCCGCCGTTGCTTGACTTCCTCGGAACAGGCTTCACTGCCCCCTGATGACGGTGGCGAGCTCTACATGGATACATAGACCATCATCACGACACTCTGGCGATCGATTGATTCCACCAGGAAAGGCGGACTAAGACTTGGCTTGCTGTTGCCCGAGATGGACGGCGTACTACGACCAAACGTCAAGCTTTCTCACCTCTTCGCTTGCTGAGGTCGGGGTCATGGGGTGGTGAAACGCTCGTTGGTTTCGCCGTACGCAACGGTCAGTCGTTCGTGATTTTCTTGAAATTTTCTGTGCGACTCCTGCACGAGTACGGGTGCAAAGAGGCACTGCCGTTGTCTCAAGACCAACCGTACAATGGGATCGCGGTAGAAAGCTATCTAAGCTTTGCCTTGAGTGCCACCTATCCCAACACTTCCGGTGGGAAAGGGGAGGAGTGGGGGGTATAGGTGAACAACAGCCGACGATGCACACGCCTTGTCTGACTTGGCGAGGATGCGCACGTTCCCTTGTGTTTTGCATGCCAAGTCTCTTGACCCCCGTCACAACCTCGTTTGTCTGTCTGTATCTATAGAACAGTTTTCCTTTTCGACCGCAGCCTCCGAGTCCAAGCGGGGTCTACTTCCCTATTAACGGCTTGCCCTACGTCGGTATATCTTTGCTGGATAGGGTATACTGGATCTACTATTTCGCAAGTGTGGTGGCATGTTGTCCGGGTCCTATCGACTTGAACCTCTCCTCGATTCCCTGCACGCCCCTCCCCCCGTCGTCCACGTCCGCCCGCACTAGGTACCACTGAATTTTGCGTCGGCCAAGGGGGGGCTTAATGAACTTTTGCATGCCTTCGCTGTGAGGCCGTTGACCACGCGTCCTCGAGGAGACGGAGCGTTGTTCCAACAGGACCGATCGCCATTGGCCAATTGCTACTTCATATTTTTGCCAAACGTGGCTCAACAATTTTTTTATCTACAAGGAATACGTATCTTTTCGCCTGTTGAGGATGGGGGGGGCGGGGGAGAGTTTCTTAAATGGATGGTAAACGGTTCTCGCCGGTGATCACGTCACGTTGAATCGGTCCTTTTTTTTCTGAATTGTGTGAGGTCCTCATCGTAGTTCCCCGACAAAATGTTGTTCTCCCCCTCTGCCCCTTCGGTGTTTGCCATCGGGATTGGGTTTTCGTCGCTTAGCAACGACATTGTAAAACAAACCAATTCACTTTGTGAACTGGGCAACCAGATTACCGTTTTTATTTTTTACCTCTGTTTTTTTTTGGCGGTGACCATAATGGTGGTCGAGTAGATCATGTTGTGCGGGGTGGAGAACCCTCACTCCGCGCAAGGGGGATGATCGCACCACGTTGTGTTAAAATGGTCAAGCACCCTCGAGACAGTTACACAGTGCTTACAACTGTTTCTGGAAGTGAAAGCACCAGAAAGTAAATTAAGTCATACGCAGTTGTCATCCGTACGCAAGAAAGTAAGCACAAGATGCCGAACACCCTTAGCAGGATGCAGCGCACCCTTCATGCTACTCGCCGAGTATCGCACGGCGCTTCGCGCTTGGTGATGTGAGAGCCTGGTCCGGTGAGAAGCCGGCGTGCTCCGTCCCGGCTTTGTAGGGATGCGAGGTCAATGGTCTAACGAATACGGCATACATACACGACTATGAGTACCCCCCCCCAAAAAAAAAAAGTTGTAAACCTTCACGGCTGTTGTGCTTCGCTAGGTGGTAGGGACTCAAAGGGAGATACGCAACCGAATGTGTTCGGTGCCTTCGATAGATACCCGGGCAGTTCTCACCCTCGAGCACGTATGTTGATCGGCTCGTCTTGGCTCGTATGTTATTGATTCGTCTTGCCTCGTCTGAGCTGTATGGCTGCTGTGTTTCGGTTGTAGCACACTCAGGACTAGCAAACATTGAGACATTCGCTCAAGGGTGCTCCCCAGAGGGCGCAGATCTCCTGTAAGAAACCGGGGGAAGGCCTGAATTTCTGGAACTTTCAGCGCTGGCTGTCATCGGCCACAAATTTTCATCTTGGCAAAGTTTGCCACATCAACCAGCCACCCACGATGGAAATGTGAGGGTGTGGCGTGTCGCAGTATTGGCGTCTGCGTTCACATCACCGAGCACATTGTCACTTCACCCGAGTGCTCGCAAAATAGGACCAACGAATCATATTGCAATGACATCAGGGAGGCTCTCGGGGTCGTTTCACGACGGCCTCACCAAATCCAGAGATGTACTGTACACCCACCAATATCAACCACTTGGATCAGCACAGCACCAAAAAGCTGGAGGACACGAAACGTCATAAGCCACCGATCTCATCTGGCGAGAAAAGAAAGGCCAACGCACAAAGACGGAAACGAGAACAGCCATGAAAAAAATCGCTCCCGGAGCGGAACAACACACAAACCACGGAAATAGTATAAAAAAGACAAATGTTACACCTTTATGCCTTGCCATTAGAGGCCCGTCAGTGACCACGCGCCGACACCGACGTACCGGCGATGAAAAAAAAAATGTGTTTAACCCTACAACAGAGGTCCCACGCATAATTTCGATCGCACCCGTTTCATGGAAGGATAGGGGCATCAACCCGACGCTGGGATGGCTGAAACTCAAAAAATGATTGTGTGCGTGTAGCACATCCTCGTCTGTTACGTAGTTTTTGTTCGTCAGTTCGCCACACGAAAGTTCACGAATGCCAAGGGTATCTATCATTCGGGGCCAACTACAATTTACATGTTGTCCGCGTTCAATCGCGGAGTCTAGACAATCAGGTCCTTGCACAACCACGGAACACAACAAAAACGAGCTACCTATCTATCTTAGCCGAGGCAACCCCACCATCCTGTTCCTGATCGCATTTCTTCCACCCGTCGAGCTCGCAGAAAACGGAGGAAATGACGGAATTGGAGAACAAAAACCCATCGGGGTCTGATAGCCGAAGTGTTCCCCATTCGCCTCTTGGACCGCTATTGCTCGCGACTTCTGCTGTTCTATCTTCATGACCCCCACCGCGGTAGTCTGGAAGACCTCTCCCCGGACTAGTTCTACCGTGGTCTCCGACGTTGCCGGCGGCGCTGCCCGCACCAAGGGTGCTGCTGCTGCTCCTGCGTCCACCGTCGTAGACAAAATCATCATCAACACGGTCGACGTTTCTGCCGCTCTTCTCGCCGCCTGCGCCAACGTCACCACCATGGCTACCTGTTGCGGCGGCGTCGCGGACCACCCAGCCTAGCCTCAGGCCCTCCGTCGCGCCTTCTTCGACCCGCCGCGCGGCGGAGTGGCCGTACTTGGAGGCAACGACCCGCAGATCCAAGCCCTCCTTTAATCGAAACCCAAGCATGACGTCGTCCAAGAGAGCGTCCTGCGACAACGCCACATGCAGGACTGATTGGTTTGCTTGATCGAGGGGCAAGGAACGCGTTGGGGGGAGAGGTGGTCCTCGAATTCGCGGCGCAGTCTCCCGTGTCTCGGGAACAAGTGGCGGATGCACAGGTGCAAGCGAGGTCACCGGGGGAATAGTCTGACGGGCTTCGTCAAAATCGCTGTTGACAAGCACCACAAAAAAAAGCCTTGGCCTTGGAACTCCGGAAACAATACGTAACACCACAAGCACGGGTGCAAGTGGGGTCACCGGGGGGATAGTCTGACGGGCTTCGCCAGAAATCGCTATTGACAAGCACCACAAAAACAAAGGTCTTGGAATTCGGGGAACATACGCATATGTAAAACCACAAGCGCACGCCCTCCCTCGTCCAATCCCCCGGCAGCGATAACACGAGAAGTAACGAAACAACAACACACCCGATCCCCAAATACCAAACACGACCCCACACTTACCCGTTCCAGAGCTTCGCGAGAGGGACGGCTCTCCTCCACCCCCCCCCCATCGCCCATGCCCCCACCGCCTGGCAAAACCTCCTCACAAGCTGTCCGTCGCGGCGCACCGGTAGCTTTAGCCCAGCCCTCCTCCTCCAGCTCGCCAACCCACTGCCCGTACTCCGGCAAACCCCGGGGCCTCGAGAAGCGATGCCCATCGACGAAGCTCGCCGCTCCGTTGCCGAAGGCTAGGAAAGGCACGTTCTCCCAGTAGGCGCGGTTGTGCCTACTCTGGAACCCTGGGCGCGCGTAGTTGGAAATCTGGCAGGAGGCGTGTTGTTGTGAGCCAGGAGCGAGGGGGGGGGGGGCGTACTCATGTTTCGCATGCCTTAGAGAGAGAGGGGGGGGGGTCAGCTGCGCTCTTGTTCCGTTGGATTGAAAGATACTCCATTCACATCGGAGATTGGTGGCAAGGCTTCTGTGTCAAACTTTCGATCTGTTGTAGGGAGGCCAGTTCTGGTACGGACCTAAGTCGCTGTCGATGGTAAATATCAACCCCTGATTCACGGTGGACGTTGCATCTATATGCAGATTACAGAATGAGTAGGGTCTGTTACCGAAGAAGATACGAAAAACTTCGAAATCCGACTCAAGCTTGCGGCGGATGTGTCTTTGTCATAAAACCAAGAGCCATGAAGCTGCGTACATACTTGTACGGACGTCGTCAGTTGAAGCACACGCACAGGGCGACACTAGCGAAAGAGACCAACGACAGGCAAAACCGCGCCACCAAAACACGTCGCGCTTCGCTTCCACGAGAGAGCTTTACGGGAGCAAGCACACACAGCCCCCAGCAAGGACGCAACCGTACTTGATGGCAGCGCAACGACGTGCGGCAGCAGTACTATTACTCTACACGCTCGTCCCCAACGATCATGCTCTCGGTGGGCACCATTCTCGTGTCCTGTGTGTTCTCTCATTCTTTTATCTCGGGGTCATTGTGGCCGTGTCGCTTTGAGGCGTGATTCCTCGGCGTGCCCGTTCGTCGAGCGAACATCTCGCGGGCATTTTCTCGTGACGGCAAGACCCTGTCTTCGCTCTCTTCTCCGGCGCCAAAAGACTTGCTCGATTGATTCCGACAGCAAATCTTGGGTCCAAGATTGCTAAAGAGGGCAGCTACATTTCTGTCTATCGGCAAAAATCTTGGCCTCCGGTACGGCCACACGACACAGTAGGACGCGCTTCCTTCGTGCCGCTTCCGTTCATTGTACCCTCTTTAGACTACAAGATATTAGCATTGAATCATTAAAATCCTCTCACCTCGTAGTGGCCGTAGCCAGCCCGACCGAGAACTCTGCTTGCCGTCCGGTACATGTCCGCGCAAGTCTCGTCTTCGGGGAGAGGCGCCTCCCCGGGGCTAAACCACCGCCCGAACGGCGTGCCGGCCTCGACCTGCCCATCAGGTAAAAAAAAAGCGACAGGTTCCAAGTGATTTGCTGTGGTCCAAAAACCTCATCAACTTGGGAATGTTGAATGAAAATTAACGTCTTCCAAGTGATCTTACTGGGGTGCAGAAAAATTATATAACATTGGGGTGCGCTTGAGAAAAAAATCAATCGCGGCACGTTCCAAGTGATTGGCTGGGGTGCAAAACGACACAACATGGGAATGCGGTTGATAAAAAAAACTTGCTAACAAAAGGGTACGGCCGCATCAATAGGTCGGGAGATTATCAACCTCAACAGCCTGCCAACCAGGCAAAAAAGTGCCTCCAGCTGGGGTGCGCGCGCTTGAGGTTTTGAATTGTAGCAACCCATGTGACCGCGTCACTTCGGCAGGCAACACCTGAAACTGAAAACGGAACGTGCTTCGACTCAAAGGTGGAACCGCAGCTGTGAACGCGCTGGCTGGACCACCCCCATGACTGCAGCATGGGTCACTGGAAAGCGCCAGGGCTCCAGCGCTCTGCGAGCTAAGACCTAAGAACCTCTTTAGTTGGCAACCATCATTTCTACCCACTATCTTGAAAACATTTGTCTTGGGTGTATGTACCACGTCGCCGATCAACGTTCCGGAGGGATTTCATCCAACGAAGACTCGCCGGCCACAATTGAGCCCCCTGAAAATGTAAGCAAGAGCCCCGCCACAACAACGCGCCAACTACAACTTAACAACACGGTGGCTGAACCCGTTACATGCGAGCCAAGTCACCTGTAGGTCATAGACGCTGATGTGCGCGGCGCCGGTGGCAATCGCCTCAGACAGCGTGTGCTCCCATTGCTCGACCGTCTGCTTGGGCAGTCCACTTCGCACGGACGCAACGCCGGTTTCGCACGCATCCAGGCGGGGGCGAGAACGTGGTCGGGGACGGCGCGCAAGAGACGCGATCGCGTGAATCATACAAATCCAAGGGTTATCTGGCACAGGGCACTTTCAGTCGAGGCCCAAGTGTAAACGTTTCTCTCACGTTCTTTCTTGGGTCGGTGTTCTGTCCAGATCGTATGGGCGGTCGAGTTGTGGACAGGCATCACCACGGCAGGAAGAACCACCTCAACACCTCAGCGGGAAATGGCGTCGTCAAGCCTCTCAGCACTAGCGGCCGTACAACAGGTACTGTAACCACTGCTGCTACAGCTGTCGAACTCTCCTGAGGTCCGGTTGCGACCCAAAGCAAGACGCGAAGTACCTCATGAGGTCAATGCTGAAGTTGTCCACCTTGGCCTTTCGCAACAGCTCGACCGCCTGGTACACGTCCGCCAGGGAGTGCGCCCTTCCGCAAGCCTCCAGCAACCCGCCGTCGAAAGACTGGACCCCCATGCTCACCCGCGTTATCCCGAGAGCCAGAAAGGCCTCAAGCCGGGCCTGGGCAATGAACGCCCAGCGACACAGAGAGCACGTCCGGGGGCGGGGGTTGGTGAACAGTTGAGCCAACGCCAGACTTGGAGCACCAAACCCTTGGGGTTGGGCTCGGCGTTATCCGAGGGAGGATGGACAAAAGGTGCACGGGGGATTCAAAAAGCGGTTCTTGCTGTTCTGGCGAAAATGGCGCAAAAGACGAAATTGCCCAAACGGCAGAGCACAAGCTGCACGAGACATCTTGACAAGGCCACAACAGCACCAAAGAGGGAGCGCAGCAGGTATGCATGCACCACATGAGTTAAATGCGACCGTGTTCAATGGCATGCTACTGCCGTGTTTTCGACGATCAAACATGGTGGGCGGTGCCCGTGTGATGTCCCACGACACCCACGTCAAAGCTTTCGCGTTGTGTGTCTACCGCAATATAGTGCTCACGGGCAAGTATCGTGAGGTCGAACATCACCACGCAACTGCTTACCATGTCTTTCGCGGACTTAGCCAACCGGCATGGACGATACGGGCGCATCGACCGCGTTCGCGTAGACATACATACATACCTCGTCAAACGTACCGGGATCCATCTCCATGGATATCTCCGCGCCGGCAGCAATCCCGTAGCAATCCCGCACCGTCTCGATCAGCAACCCCACAAGCTCCGGGGGGCAGAGAGAGGGCGTGCCCCCACCAAAAAAGAGCGTCTTGACGCCGCCGCCGCGGCCGGAGTGCTCCATGGTATCGTCGCCGCCAGCTTCGCCTCGAGCAGGTAATTTCGGAGCTCCGATAGTGGCGGTGGCGGCCGTTGCGCGGATCTCTCGAACGACGTTGTCGACGTACGGCCTAGCGGCTGCCGCAGCTGCCCCGGGCCGGTCGCCCACCACCTGGTGTCAGCAAGGAGTGAATGCATTGACGCGTTAGTACCATGGGCGGATCGCGGGTGGCGAAGAGATGGTGGGCGGTTCGTGAAACTTGGACGGCTAATGAACCCGCCAGTCAACGGTCGTTTCTATGTGATGAATACAGCTCTTGGGCGGCTGTAACGTAACACTGAAGGGTAATTCGCTCGCCAACGGTTTTTACAATCTGGCCGGTGAGCTCGATGCCTGACGTCGGAACAACGACGGAAGTTGCAATGAGTAGATACATACCAGCATCGCAGCTGGAGGTTCGACGCTGGAGGTCACCACATCCATCCTGCGCCGAATCGATCTTTGGCATAACAAAAAAAATACACCGCACCGCGAAGGTCACCCCGCTGCACGTCAAGCAGTCACAGGCACCGCCTATGGAAGGGTTTGTATCTGTTGCAGGAACAAGCTTGGCAGGAAAGAGCTACGACTCGGCGCGCCCGAAGGTAACGTGGTCGTGGTTTTAGCTGACCATGCGCTTCAAAATCCGTACAATAGGAAAACTATCACGAGAGCCCAAAATGTATCCACAAGTTTTGTAGGTGCACGGCCTGCTTCCTCTCACCTCGTCGAGACTACGCGCATGCACAAAATATTTCTATTTACAGTAAGTCTACCAGACGAGGCACACGGAGCAAGAGGCAAAAGGCGCAAAAAATCTAAATGAAGGGGGACGACGATGGAGGACGTGCACCGAAAACGTCCCACCACTGTACAGTAGATGTATGCATGCCTTATCTCTTAATTCCCTCACTTTATCTCGTTCTGCCTGTCTGTCTCTCTCCCTCCCCTGCCTCTTGGTATACAAGTGAATGAGGAAAAAAAAACTGCTTCAAGTCTTCAAAGTAGTGGTGATTGCCATTCAGCAGCAACTACAACGTTCCCGCGAAGCTGATCGAGTGTCATCCGCCAATTCCACGATGGAATGCGGACCCGGGTGCGCATGGACGACGGAGAACTATCGGACTGGTTCTTCGTGACACAGGGCGTGCGACAAGGATGTGTTCTATCCCCACTGCTGTTCAACATCTTCTTCGCCGAGGTCCTCGAGGTCGTTGTCATCCGATTCAGCGAGGATGATGTTGTTCTGCGGAGCCTGGTGTGCTTGGAGGAGGGGAAGACGGAAGCGGGGAGGGGGGGAGGAGACATTCCTTGACCGAGTACGGAGGGCAGTATGGGGGATGCTGTATGCCGATGATGCCGGCGTCGTATCGAGGTCTGCAGAAGGACTGGCGAGAATGATGACCATCATCGTTGAGGTGTTCGGGGAGTTCGGGCTAACGGTGTCGGAGAAGAAGACGGCGACGCTCCTGATGCGCGCAAAGGACAAGCCGACTACAACATCACAACCCGCCCCGCCTCAACCGCTGAAAATCGAAGCCGCGGGACAGAAATACGCTCAGACGACCTAGTTCCGGTACCTCGGTGGCCTCGTCAAGGAACATGGCGACCTCACCCGGGAGATCAACTACAGGAGCAGAGGAGCGTGGGCGTGCCTCAGGCGATATGGCCGGGAGCTCTTCGACAGACCGCAAGCGCCATTCCGACTCAAGATCCGCCTGCTCCAGGCGGAGGTGATGGAGGCACTGCTGTACGGCTGCATGACATGGTAACCACTCAGCGGCCACTATCAGACGCTGCGGTCGATACACCACCGACTGCTCCTTCGAGTTATCGGATACAAGCGCAAGAAAGACACCTACCGGCAGCTCTCTTACGCCCAGATGCTCAAGAGGGTCGAATGCCAGAGCGTTGAAGCCACGATCCGACAACGACGCCTACTGTTCGCGGGAGCATTGGCAAGGCAACCGGACGGGCGACTCCCGAAACGACTGATGTTCGGCGAACTGGCAGGGGGGGAGAAGCGACGTAAGGGGGGACAGGAACTGGCCGAAGTGTGTGCTCGACAACCTGAAGGCATTCGGGGCCGACCACGGATCTACGAAAACCGATCCATGCTGTCTCGGAATCCGGTACCGAAGGACACTGCACCGACGTTAAAGTGGATGGAAGCCCCGAAGGTGGAGGGGGGAGTACCCTGGCATGCGGCGGTGCTGCAGGGAGCTGAGAGGTTCATGACCTCCTGGCAC